TTTTTGGTGTTTTTAATGCTTTATTATTATTATTAATATTAATATTATTATTATTATTATTATTATTATTATTATTATTATTATTATTATTATTATTATTATTATTATTATTATTATTATTATTATTGAAGTTACCGATGATGCAAATGGTCCAAACTGGGAGTGGGATTTGATAATTAGAAATAATAAATAAAAGAAAACTGTTTTAATTTAAAAAAAATGAAATTATCTGACAAAATTCCAACTGCCCCAGCTTAAGCAGACCAAGGTAACACGGGAAGCACGTGCACTCTCTCTCGCCATCAATGGATGCACTTGACTCCCATTAATTATGACAACTCTCATCTTTCCCCCTCTTTTTCCTACATTTTATTATTTTTTAAAAAATACTATTTTAATATTAGTTTTAAATTCAGTCGTTACTATATAATTTGTTGATCGATTAATATATAATGTGATGTCTCGATTTCAATCACTAACTTCGTTAAGGGTATACTTTGAAAAACTATCGGATAATTAGATGCAATTATAATTAAACCCATAAGTATATTCGGTGATTTTCCCGATATATTACCGTTGAACAGTATATTTCCCGATCAGGCACCGTTCAGATTATATTTCCCGATCTAACACCCGTTGCAGAAATGCGTCTTACCCCATAATCTGCCACGCATCAGTAAGGCGCGCCCCTTGTGGCGCGCCTTGAGTATAAATACCCACCTACCCCGACATTTCACCCCCAATCACTCCCTATAAATACCCACATCCTCAATCACTTTCATCACACCAAATTCTCTCAATTTTTCTCAAATACTCTTATAATCTCTGTCTAAGGTATATTTTATTATATTTTTAATATTTTGTATTTAATTTATTTAAGTATTTAATTTATTTAATATTTTATTTAATTAATTTTTTTGCAGATATAAAATGGAAGACGATCTACTTCACTTGGATGGAAATCATATATCTCGACACTTTGCTGATACGGTAACATTTTAACGTTTAATTTAATTTAAATTATTAGTAATTATTTTCTTGATTTATTTAATGCATGATTATTAGATTAAGAATTAATTTTTGTAATTATTTAATTTTAGGAGAAGAACCGTGTATTAGATCCATTCATTAGGAATCTTAAGTTAGTGATATCTAGTTGTGTCTTGTCGTATTTAGTAGAGGCTGGATTCGGTTACATAGGTAGATATCAGGGTCATTGTAAGATAGAACAAGACATTATTTATGCCTTAGTAGAGCGGTGGAGGCCGGAGACCCACATATTCTATCTTCCGTGTGGAGAGTGCACGATTACACTTGAGGATGTTGCTATGCACCTGGGGCTTCCGGTGGATGGAGATGTGATATCGGGGATCGCGCAGGGTTCCTCGACTGCTTTGTGTCGGGATAATCTAGAACGTGTCCTAGAAAGTTTTAACGGTGGTCGGATACCGTTAAATTGGTTAGATGTCAATTTTCGGGAGTTGAGCGAGGACGCGTCAGATGATGAAGTTAAAATGTATGCACGGGCATGCATACTGCAGCTGATAGGAGGGTTGTTGATGCCAGACAAATCGCGCAACCAAGTTCACTGTATCTTCTCATTCGACAAGAGCAAAAGCAACTGGAAGAATGTTGCGATTGCTATCTTGGACAACTGCCAATAATAAAACTTGCTTGTATTTTCCATACAAGAAAGTCTCGTCGATTTGGACCACAGGCTTGCAGTATTTGACAACATTAACGCACTGTGGGTAAGTCCAAAAAACGCGGTAGAATTGGCATTGATCGCAGAGAACTCAATCATTATGGTATGCATAAGAGGTTTCAAAGTTCACAATTGTCCTAGGATTCAACCTCCGCACCAGCCTAAACCAGCCTGGAAGTTCGTTGTAAGATGCATCCCATTCGCCATGAAGTTTGACAATGGCATTTTGTTTTGCCAACCAAGCTTTTTTATAGGAGACAGTGTACCCATACTGCTATTGTATAGCTGAAATCAACACAGCAACAGCTATATGAGAGCTTGCTTTTACCATGGGCATGATGGCATGGCATATCACTTCAGAGTCCAAGTTGGGATGATCTTGGTTGACCCCTCCAGCATAACATGTATGAGGACTGTTATATACTGTTAGTTCTCATTTGTTGTTTTTCATCTTCCTCTTCGATACGCGAACCATCCAATTGCATCCGTTTTCACATCGGGCACAGTAGCATACATATTTTTCTGTCGTGGAGCGGTCGACTCTCGATTGAACAGAATTACGGATATTGTAATTTTTTATAGACATCATCGCTTATTCTTTGCTTGAAAACTCCATGCCTAAATATAACTCACAATTATTTATTGATGAGTAATAGTCATAGTCACCGAGATGAGGCATATCCGCAAATTCTGGACCATACATTGCACCATAATCAGCTTCATACATATGTGCTGGAGGGTCAGTTTGTGTCACATTTGGTGGAACTTCATCCACATCATCATCGGAGTTGAATTGCGGTGATTCTGGGTGAATGAATAGTCCAGTCTCAGCATCATCCGCACCAGGCTCACGAAGCGGTTCTTCTGGTAGAGATGATGGTTCTTCCATGCTCTCCACATTTAGGTCGAAAAACCTACTACTTGCACGCCTTCCCCTTGAACTGGAAGACATATCGACATTCAGATCGAAAAAGCTCGCAGTCGAATGCCTCCCCCTAGAGCTTGAAGCCATCGTGTCAAATGGAAACTGCACAGATTGTTGCGTCGATGGCATCTCCATATTAAGGTTAAAGGGATTTGCAGATGAATGCCTTCCTCTTAAACTGTACGCGATGTTGCCATATAGATTGTTTGTCGACCCACCTCAGTACATATCGTAAGGAGTTGCAGATGAATGTCTCCCCATTATGCCATTAAAATCGTTACACATTATTGTCGTCGGGCTGTCAACTTGTTCAGCCAGCCCATAGTTGGAGCTTAATGATTGACCCTGAACATCACGCACTTGAATAAAATTTGCATACATCTCAATATCGACGTCCGAATAATTACTTTGAGCTTCAACCATCATTTCAACATCATCATTGTTCAAAAGTTCGAACGTTGTATAAGTTAATAGCAACAATGATGTTGGAAATCTGTACTGCAATGACAACATTCTTCTACTACTTCCAACATGAATCTTTCTTGAAATCTTCGTTATCAGCTCCTCAAGAGTTATGTTTCTCTTCAATGATATTTTAACACGCTCATTTGATACGAAAACAACGCCGGTTTCATCTTCTCGAATTTCACCATCATAATAAACAATAGCTGAAAGTCGCACCATTCTTTGAGTTTAAAAATACGGCAATATTATATCTGCAAAAAAAACAACTGAAACAATGATGATTAAATAAATAATATATGAACGAAAATATAACACAATAAATTTTTTACACATAAACGTAAATAATTTAAATAATATAATTTTATATTATTACATGTACCGCAAAACTATTTTGAAGTATATTCCCGCTTTCTAATTTTACAAACACAGAAATTAATTGACAACAATTAGTATAATATTTTTTCAAATAATCATAATAAACAATAATCATAATAAACAATAAGTATAATAAAAAAATTTATCACAAAATTACCTTATAACGAAAAATCGCACGAACTTCTAAATCAAATATGAGAAGATTGTCGGATTGTTGTATTAATTTTTTTCTAATCGAGAGGAGATATGAGGAGTTACCCCGGGAGAAGGGTATTTATAGCCGGGAAATACTACAAGACGCGGTACCTATACCGCGTCTTACATAATTATATCATATAAAGCTAAGGCGCGGCCCCTGTTCTGCGCCTAATACAATTGTGTTAAAGGTAAAGCGCGACCCCTGCCCTGCGCTATACTCCTAGGTGGCCTAAGGCGCGCCCTTGGGGCTGCGCTTTACACACGTGTATACCATGTCAGCATAAGGAGCATTTCAGGGGACGCGTCTTACCCCACGTGGCACCAAATCAGCGTAAAGTGCGTTGCAGGGACCACGTCTTTCTGCAAAAGGTGTTAGATCGAGAAATATAGTCTCTTTCTGCAAAAGGTGTTAGATCGAGAAATATAGTCTGAACGGTGCCTGATCGGGAAATATACTGTTTAACGGTAATATATCGAGAAAATTGCCGGTATATTTGGATAATCATTATAATTATTTTATGCTGAACTGAATGTAATTGAAACATTTTAATTATATTAATCAATTGTAGAGGGTGAAAAATTGAGTAACTATACGTGTAATTAGCGATAATGACACTTTCAAATATTTTTTTATTTTTAAAATTTAATTATATCATATATCTTTACATTATAATTTTTATTTAAAGTTGCTATTTAGGTTTTTGAATGTTTTAATTTTATTATCAAATTATGGTTTTTATTTTAAATTAATCATCAAACTTTTGAATATTATGAATTTATTCACAAACTATGACAAATTAAATTGATCCTTAAATTTTTTAACATTACAATTTTATTTCAAACTAGCGCTTTCATTAAGTACTATAATTTTGTTATGAAAATCTTCTTTTAAATAATATAGTATGATTATAAGACAATATTTATTAAGATTTTTTTGATCATTGACAACACACTCTTTACAAACGTAATTGTTTAAATTCAAAATCTCTAAAAGAATAACATTTCATTTTTTCACTAGTTTCGTTCAATAAATTCATATTATGAAATAATATTTTCAGTTAATTTATTATATTTACTATATAAAGAATTTGAATTTATTTAATAAATTTAATATTTCACAATAGATCAGCACATAATTATATAACTAAAATCTATAGTTAAGAAAATTCACAAATAAAAGAAAGTGAATATAATCATTAAATATGATATTATAAAAAGAAATAATCAGGAGTTAAAAATATTCCAACATAATATTTTTAAATATCACTATAACATTGCATTTCTTGAGAGAGAAAAATGAAAACCAAAAACATTGATAATCAAGTGAAAAAAGAAATGACGTGCTCAAAAAGTCCATTTCCAGATCTTTATCCTTAGATCAACCTTACACTTAGAACTCGACACGTCGGCCACCGCCGGCGATTTACCTTTCGGCACAGCCGCTTTAATCTCATCGCACGTGACCCTAATCCCCACTTTCTTGCTCTTCACTCCATCCATTTTCACTCTAACCTTGGTATCCATATCAATTCTCAACGCCACCCCATTCTTCCTCTTCAGATCGGATCTCAGCTTGTTCACGGCGTCGGAATCTGGATCGCTCGCCGTCGTCATCACAACTCCCTTGAAGGTCGTCTCGTTCTTGCTGTTGCTGACAAAAGCCGGCAATGTTCCGTTGGCTATAAAGACGCCGCCGTTTCCCGTTTCGCATGAGATTGCGAAAGGGTCGTACGAGAACGAGAGGTGGGAGTTTGGGTTTTTGGAGGAAAGGGTTAAGTTCAAGAGGGCGGAGAGATGGGAAGAGGAGGAGTCGGCGGTGGTCGTTAGGTTCAAGCGGTGGATACGTAGGGAAGCGACGGTGAAAGAAGGGCGGTGGGGACGGTAAAACACGTAGATGATGCTTCCGGCTATGGCGGCTAAAAGCGCGAGGATGAGGATGACGAGGATTGTCCAGAAACAGCAGCAGCAACAGTAGTTTCTCCGGGGACGGTGGTGGTGACGGCGGTTGTAGGGTTGACGGTACGCTGGGCGAGAATTGGGGTTGTAAAGATGTGGTTTCGTGGTGTCACCGTTGGATTTGGCTGTCGTTGCTCCGACGGTGCCGCCGTTTGCGGCGGGTTTAGAGTCTGACATTGTTTGAAGAACAGAATTGTAAGGGAAACTGGGAGAGTGGGGGATAAGATTTGGAGTGGATTTGAGGAAGAGGAAGGCACACTCCACCCAAAGGAGATGCTGCCACCTCTGCAAATTAGGAATCTTTTTTTATTTCTTTTATCCATAATATGGAAAATTTCTTCACAAGTCCATGCAGTATGCATTTTTAGTGGATTTAGTATGTCCGTTATCGTCCTTTCGTCAAATTTTTCAGACATAGACATTCACGATGTTACATATTTTAAACAAGTCACGTTAAATTATTTAACAAAAATTTAAATAAAAAATAAGTAAATCATATCATATGTTATCGAATTATGTTACTGAATTTTTAAAAATACAAAACAATTATGAAATTTATCGAATGACTATAAAATGATTATTTAATTTATTAAAAGTTCATAATTTATTATAAAATCATAGTCATTATTTTGTAACGATTCTATAAATTTAATAAATATTTTATAATTTTTAAAAGTTTAGCAATTGAAATAATCAATTTAGTATAGCCTAGTGACCTTTTATGTACTATATCCTAAAAAATAGTCTCACACCAAAATTACAAATTTCAAAAAAAAGAGTTTAATAATAGAATTTATCAAATTATAACATTGGAAAATCCCAAAAAAAAAACTTATAATATAAGGTCTTTTTATAGAATTTAACCTATTTGTATATTAAAACTTCAATGTAAATTTTATTCTACGGTACGCCTTATGTCACTCCATTATTAGTTAGATTATAAATGGTCAATCTTTTTCTATAAGTTATAATTTAGGCACTTATTAAAAAATATTATTACAAATAAGTCATTGGTCATTGAAAATTAGAAGAAATAGTGATATGGTCTGATATAGTAACTATTTCTGTACTCAAAACTTATACATTATATCTATTCAATGAATTAAATAAATTAAAATTAAGAAGAAGAAAAAAATCCCCAGTTTAGTGATGACACGTGTCATGACACTTATCATGTAACACCCCAACCCGTACCCTACCCGGATACGAATCTGATGTGTCACATTAACTTTTCAAAAATATACTTTTACAAAATAACTAAAATTCGAGTTAACATTGAAAACAAAACTGAATAATTTATATCAAATACAATCATATTGTTTTACAAAACCAATTAGAGCAAATCTTGTTAAAATCTTTAATTACATGCCAACTACATTCCATATAACAAAATACATATTATTCAAATACTTTTTTGATCTAATCTTGGGAAAGGAGAAGCTGACCTGACTTGCCTATCATTGCTCCTCATCTTGGAACCTACGTGTGAAACACTCACACGCTAAGTCGATGACTTAGTGAGGCATATAAAACATAATGTATCTTTAACTCCTAACAATGCATGAACATATAATTATATCATATCATACAAAATCATATACCCTTTCATGTAACAAATACATACATGCACATATATTATCATCTACATTCTTAATATTATCATATATTATTCTTATTAATCCATCTGATCATCGAATCTTGTACTTAACAATTATACACCTCATATCATACATTTCATACAACAAAACACATAACATCACATAGAATTTATTTATGGTATATCTTTTTAATAGCCCATGTACACTTGTGAGAACTAAAGATATGTGAGTACATTGAGGTTGTGCACATATGTTGTCACCACAGCTCGTATAAATCCCCACTAGGGGCACATAAAATTGTCCTGAAGGACCACATATATGTCCCGAAGGATCACTCCTTAAGGATCACATATATATTCCAAAAGACCAAATATGTGTCCCAAAGAACTTCATATATGTTCTAAAGGATTACATATATATCTCGAATGACCACATAGAACCCCGACTCTTGACATGCCAACTATACCCATAGCTCTCAGATCCCATAACATGGGCATTATCATTTATGTCATTTCACATATAGTCTCATAACTTATCCTTATCACGTAGATCATATAACGTTCTCGTATATTCTCATAGCTCATTGTCATATATTGCATATCACATATACTTGTATTCACATAGTTCATAACTACATAGTTTCTATTCCTCTTCACATAATCACATAGATCAATGTCATTGAACTTATTTTACTTTCTCATGTTATTATATAAGCATATAATCTCATATGGTTACTTAGATCATCACATATACCTTTACTTATATATCTCATATCATTTCTCATATAACCACATATGTTCTTTCTAATAACACATATCATATATGCATATAATAACTTATATCATATTATATAGCTTATGTTTTATTCTTTTATATTCACATAACATATAATACATACAAGGCATATTCACAAAGTACACTCATAATCATTATTCTACTCATACAAGCATATATTCAAAATGTCGGAAACAGACTTGTCGCAAGTCTAATTTCCATCAAATCATATTTCATACTAGTATGCACTCACCTTAGCCTCACTAGTCCAAGTCATGCGCTTATCTCGTTCTTGTTCGATCTTATCTCGTTGACTCATCAGACACTCGCTTCCGATCGATATCTACACAATTATACGACTTATATGAATATCGGAGTTCGAATCACTTATAATCAATCCATATAACTTAGGGATGAAAGAACCACTTAATTTAACATTTCAAGCTTAATAGTATCGTTACTCTTACTATAGTACCGATACTACCCTCTTATGGTATCGATACCCCTCTAGGTACCGACACCATTTTGACATTCTGTATTTATAACTTGATAATGGTATCGATATTAGACACTTGGTATCGATACCCCTTTAACCAGTACCGATACCACCCTTTAAGTATCGATACTTCTTAAAGAATTAAAACCCATCATAAATTATAAGAAATAATCAATTTGAGCATTCCTTACCTTAGCTATGAAGACACGGGAAGAGAAGAAGAAGCTTCAAAACTCCAGATTTTTCTTTTCCTCTTATTTTTCTTTCCACGTGGATATAAAGACCACCAAATGAATTTTTTTCAATTCATTTATCATCAAATAACCATTTTGCCCTTCAATATTTCCTTCTTTTCCAATCAGTCCTACCCAAAGAATTTACAATTAAGTCCTTGAACTTTTTAATTTTTCCTAAATTGATCACCAAATTTTAAGAACTTTTGTTTTAGTCACTAACCCGGTTTTTGGGATGTTACATATCATTAGTGGCACATATCATCATTTGATTAGATGATCAAATTTATTGAATTAAATCAAAATTACAATCAAATTGATAGAATGTGTAAGTAATAAGGACCACCTATATAATTACATCAAATCTTTTAACTATCACGTAACCTTATTTGTTAGATGTTAACAGCTGACGAGTTGATTAGCATAATTTAAATTGTTAAGTTCTGATTGATAAAATTAAAAAAATAAAGGTTAGATTAAAATTTATATAATTAAGTGGTGATTAGTGTAGTTTACTTTGACTTTTAAGAAGGAATTGTTGATTTTGTGCAGTTAATATATCTTCTAAGGCAAGCATTAAAAAGCATAAAGTCAAACAATGAGCAAATGAGTTGAAATAAGAAGTGGAGAACTGGGATTGGTATATAAAACAATAATTAGTATCTGAATAATTCAAACCATAAGTTGTATTAGCTTAAACCCAAAGTTCAACTATCACCTCATTAATTAATAACACTGGTTTCTAGATAAGAGTATCTTTTCGTAATTAACTATGATTATACATTAATAATGACTTTAGGGTTTTGAATATAAAATAAAGAAATGATTGATTTTGTACTTTACTTGGAGAAAATGTTATCTCAAGCTTTTATTAACTTTGATGCTTCACTTTATGGTTTCCCCTTTTGTCGTGCTTCAGTGTTCGCGGTGGTGGGAGTGAACCGGCGACAATGTCCATCGTGGTGGACCGGCAATGATTGTGGCGGGGTAAACAAATGACCCCACATATTTCATATTCACTAATACATATTATTTTTTGATTAACACTAATACATATTAAACGGACTGATGATATGCAGTTTATTAGAATAATTTAGACACAATCTCAAAATTAGTCCCCAATATTTTTTAAATTGATCATTTTAATATATATTCTTTGTTTAGAATATATTAGCTCCCAATATTTATTTTAGGACAAAAAACCACCTAATGTTTGATTGAATAATTAATTTGACCTTTATTTTTTTGTGAAGTAATTTATCATCCAATGTTATATTTTAGAAAAAAAATCTCTATTTTGAAGCATTAACAGTCTACTGCTAACAGTTTATATTAGGGGACGACCTTTTTCTTTTTCAAAATGAAATGTTAGAAATCAAAATACTTAAGAGAAAAAGAAAAGACCAAAATTACCATTTTGAAAATGACAGCATACCAATAATTTATTCGTAATTATCATTTAAACGTAATCGAAGAACAAATTAGCATAGGCCGCATTGAGTTAAGAGAGCAAAAAACGTGGGTTTATTGAATGGGATTTGGGTATCCATTAATGGATTGGGTTTTGGTTCCTTACAAGCAACATCATTTGAAATCCTTTTAACGTTAAATTTTGAAAAAAAAACAATTAGAAATTTAGGTACTAAAACAGAGCAAACTGATAATTTAGGTAGAAATACTAAAAAAAAAACTAAACGTTAGGTATGATTTTGAAAAAAAATTAAAAGTTTAAATACTAAATGGATCAAAACTGATAATTTGAGTACTAAATACTTAATTTACCCTTTTTATCTTCCAAGGACAGAAGTTTGTTGATTTGGATTTCTTTGAATTAATCACTCGTATCCGATCTATTAATCGACTAATACAGATCGAGTACTGCAGAGGTGAGAGCGACTCTCCCAACCCATTTGACTTTATTCGCAAATGCCAGAGTTTGAACCCTAACCTTACTTAAGGGACCAATATATATTTATAATTTCAAAAATAAATTCGAAACTTGAATATATATTTCAAAAATAGATATTTTCTGAAACTTAAAAATATTAAAAAATACCAAGATAAAATATTAATCACAATTGAAAGACCGATATAAACATCTTTTTATTAATTTAAAATGTCACGTATTAATCTTTTTTCCCCCAATA